TATATATATATATATATATATATATATATATATATATATATATATATATATGCCATCCTCGATATGCCAAATGTTTATACATAATAAATTATGGAGATTTACAGTATATAATTTTATTGTTATTATTATTATTATTGAGTTTTGATTTTTATATTAAAAATTGTAGTAAAATAAATATATTGTTGATTTAAGTTTACTGGATTATCAATAATAAAACAGTCATTTTGCAATTTAATTTCGGTTTACGAATTTCTATGGTATTCCGGTTCTTGATCACATTCCGAAAAGCTCAGTAGAAAATATCAAATCCGATGAACTTAATCAGAATTTGGATTTGGAACGTTGAAATTATATGATAAAGTCCTCGGTCATATCCCGAGGGAGCATCTCCATGGATATTCACATCCCAAATATATATATATATATATATATATTATATCTCAATGTATATCAATGTCTACTTACGTATCTATATATATCAATGTATATATATCAATGCTTTCCACAAAAGCATATTATAAAAAATTAATTAGAAAAAATACAGTTTGTAATCTTAACGCAGTACGTATCTATATATTATTTTACTACAATTGTTTTTAAATAAATGGGTCTTTGTCCTAAACCACGGAAATCGCAGCAGACAAATATGATTCGAAATTAAACAATACAGAATTATTTAAAGAAAATAAGAAAAACCCATATTGTGAACACTGCCCTAGGGCTCTTTTTACACGATCATTATGAATTGTATTATGCAATGCATTGACTGACATAAGGGAGGGGGGGAAAAGGAGTAAGTGAAAATCATTTATTATGAAATATAAAATAAAGTCTACGTGAGTCATAAACGAAGGAAGCAGGCAGGAAAATTCAGCCATGTTTATTTAAATTAAAAAATATATGCATAAAGCAGAAGCGTGACTTATTGAGCGTCGCACCCCACGTCCACCCATTTTCTAAAAACAGCCAAAACCCTAATAATAATGATATGACAATGACAACAGAAAATATAATTATATATTCCTAATAATTAAAATTTATATTCATCTTGAAAAGTGAAGAACGAATTATATATATAATTCAATATATGTGTGTATATTAGTCAATAATTCAAGAACGAATAGTCAATATTTCTTAGCCAAGAAAGAAAAAGGAATTTTATTTCATCAATGGTAACTTTTTTATCTCTATAAGAAAACAAAATTATATGAAACTACACTCAAAAGCTTAGATGATAAAAGACAAAAAAGAAAAAGAAAAAGAAAAAGAAAGAATAGAGCCGTATTATTTAAATGGGGATTGCATTAAATGGTTTTCATTTCGATTCTTTTGATGGGTCGGGTTTTGGACGATAGACTCGGGGAGGGGTCCATCCATCTATCCATCCATCCATGTGTTACATGACATATAATAACATGATGATGCAAACCATGCCATATTTTTAAACCTAATTATATTAGGTACATAATTGTAGAAATCATGTATGACATAGTATAGATAACGGTGCGTATCATACAACAGCATTTCGGATCTCCATTTATTTTATTTTAATATATATATATACACACAATTTTTATATTGTGATTTATTCTATATTATATATTAACAATTTTTATATTGTGATTTATATTATTTTTATTTGGATTCTCTTCACATTTTGTTTTTATTAAAAAATCTGCTCATTTGCTACAATAATATTTATTTTCGTTTAATTTTTATTCTAATATTTGGCTAGTGATTTAAATTTAGGGAGGTGGATGTTATTGGTGGGGGGAAGAGTTCCTTTGATTGATAGCGCAAACTCAGTCAACAACATTGACTTATTCTTTCACGAAATAATTTAATTATTTCGCAATCAAAATACGGATTCCCTTAGAGAAATTCGTTATGTAATTTCTCGAAATTGTTTAGTCGTTACCGAGGATGTCACCTTTTTAACAAATCAAAACGACTAATGTATTTTTTCATATTTATTCATTTTGAAGAAATATGAAAAGACCTAATTAGCGTTTTTCATTAATGTTATTTAATTCACACACATAACACATTCTTGATAGATATCATATACATACATACATACATACATACATACATACATACATACATACATACGTATATGTACATATGTATATTACCCGCGATTATTTCTTTTTTTTTTTTGTTAAAGAACCGGCGATTATTTCGCATTCAAACTTTTTATGTTTCGTCAAAATATTATGTTTACGTTTCGCATTCAAGACCATTAAAACTCATAATATTCTGGTTAAAGGTCTGAATATCGAGTCCCACCTGAACATTACCATTATAAAAATATATATATACATATATAATATATCTATATATTATACAGAAAATTGATTTATTTTCTTTCCAAAATTTGTAGTTTCATTTCATTCACCTCTTTTATGTTATTTCACGTGGGATGAAAGAGACCAATGAATCCGATGAAGTTTAGACCAAACCAAATCAAACCAATACAATCGATCACACACACATATATATATATATACTAATCTATTAATTTTCAAATATTTCAATAGAAAATTATGGTTTTATTGAAGCTATCCAAGTTCACTAATAACCAGGGTTTGGACGCACGGCGTTATTGTTACAATATATAACAAATGAGATAATTCATGAAATAGGGTCCACATATGTACGAATCATGACTACCTCACACCACCTGCATGCAAACTCCAGTTAGGTTAAACATGTAAAACGTAGCTTTAAACATAGGTGTAATATTGAACCGACTAGTTGGTAATTTAGTTGAGAGATGACAAAGTCACTTCAAAATTTTGAGTTCAATTCCACTAGTGGGAAGAAGATGGCGCAATTAATTGCGTGACCGAAGGGTGATTCTGGCCCTAGAGGGATTAAGTGGATCGAAGACCCAATAAATCTTCTAGTTTAAAAAAAAGTGTAATATATATTGTCGTATACATGCATTTATAGTTGTTTGTCTTAATGGAATATGATCTAAAAAATATATTTGGAACAAATTTTCTAAAACTGAATTTAAAATAATCGAATAAATGGAGCCAAAAATCACTTAACACTAATACCTTTGTTTATATATAAACCAAATCAAACTATTAGTTCATGAATCTAATGAAAATTCCATATAAAAAATGAATGGATATTGTTTTTTTCAATGTTGAATCGTCCTTTGAACTAAATATGACATTGCACACCTTATTCTTAGCTTAGACCCATCCCAATCCGTTTGATATCATTTGTCGTTAATTCTTGGACTGTGCAATTGACATAACAATACAAGACGTGCAATATATATATATATATATATATATCGATGTAACTAATCAAGGATATTGTACTCATGTGGTGGGTGTGACGTATTTTTATGTATGTTTGTGCGCCCGCATATACAAGTTTTTTGGAGGGTTCAGAAAGAGGGAACATTTGGATTTGTACAGTGGATTCATATAGTAACAATACTGACGCAATTATTAGGCAAAAACATATATTGTATATGTAATGTTGTATATATGTCGCATAGTATAAGCGCGCGCGCGCGCGCGCGCACACACACACACATATATATATATAATATAAGCTATTTACATGGTCCAACACGCGATCGAAATTAAATCATAATTCAACGATGCAGTTTCCATCGCGGATCCTATTCGAAACTCTATGGTTCAATTTGGTTCACTGATCGGTTCGGTTAGAGAGATGGTCATTTCGAATTTTGATTCGGGTTTGATTATGTTATATTTGGGTTCGGTTATTTCAATTATAAAAAAGTATAACCATTTGGTTTCTACTAAACTTCGGTTCAAAATCGTATTCATTTTTTTCAACTCACTTTTTTTTTTGTTTTTTCAGTTATTTCTTTTATTCATTTTTTTCAAAATCATATTCATTTTTTTCAATTCATTTTTTTCAATTCAGTATAACCATTTTGTTTTTTCAACTCGTAAATCGAATTTGATTTATTCAGATTTAAAGAAAACATAACAATTCGATTAATTTTCATTATGTCGGATTTGATTTGACGATTATGTCATATTCGGTTTAGTCAGTTATTCGATTGATAACAAAAATGCCACATCTAAATTTTAGTAGCCCATTTGATCTCCTAATCTAAAAAGGAGTAAATAAATAATTAAATAAATCAAAAGCAGAAAAGGAAATCGAAATAAATAATAAAGGTTAGGACCGATGAAACTTTGTTTTTTAAATAAAAAATATGGGGATTAGGGTTTGGGACCGGAGGAGGTGGGTGTCTCCCGTGGCCATGCAAAGATGTCAGCTTCGTGTCACAGACTACGATGGACACCGACACACGTAACTCATGTGAACTGTTTCCTTATTTCTTTTTTGCCCTAATCCTTTTCTTCTCTTCTCGAGGAATTTCACACGATGATATCAACTTCCTTGTTCTTGCATCCATCCAAAAATGACAAATATTAATATATATATATATATATATATATATATATATATATATTTGTATTTCAACCGTTTGTCGAGCGATTTTGACTGGTAAATAGGATTCATCGTCATCCCCACTTTCCTTCGTGTATACCAACATCCACACACATATACACATACATATATACATACATATGTATTTTCATATAACATTTCGACGTCAGAAAAAAAATACATGAGCATTAGATTTCACTTAATACATTTGGAATCTTACATAATCCAACGACGAATGGTTTACTTGAAAAGATTTTTTTTTTGAGGGGAAGAAAAGCTTAATTAAAGTAGTAGTAACCTAAGCATTATATGTATTGAATAATAATAATCGATATTAAATTTGTATTATAGGTATTGTCATGCACACATATATATATATATGTGTGATGTTTTAAGTAACTTTTAAAAACTACACGACATATGTATGTGTATGATTAAATGTCGCGATGGGGTGTGTGTACAGATACAATCGTGAATGCGGACACAAGCATTGAATGGTTCCACTTTCCCGGTCTGGCTTCTTATGTTACAAAAGCCAAATACTATTTAAATAAAACCGAGGTGGCGTTAGAAGGAAAAAAACATAATAATTAAAATGGGAAATTTGTTTTTTTTTTGTTATAATATCTTTATTGTATTGTATATATAAAATGGAATAGGTCTTGTTTCCGAGAAGCTAAGTATCGAGGCCACGACCTGTCACACACAAAGCGCACACATTCACATAACATTACGTAATCTTTTTTTTTTTAAAATAATTATTTCGTTTTCTCTTACCCCTTCATCGTCTCTGTCTTATTTCTTCACTGTTTTATTTATTTTTCCAATCGATTTTTTTTTGGTTCATTTGAAAGAAAGACACGTTTCATTCGGGAAATTTTCCAAACCATGGAACCATATCGTTAGCATTTCACGTACCGTTTTTTAATTTCATTGACGTGTTTAAAACACGTGATTAATTAACATGCTTATGGAGATTGAGTTTGATTATTGGATAGAGTACGTGGGCTTGTCGGCCCATTAGTGGAACTACCATACTTTCCGCCTTGTTCATGTAACGGGCATCTAGGCCCATTAGAGGGCCCAACTACGTGGACCATCGCAGAACCTAAAATATCTATAAATGCGATGATCGTGTATAAGGGTGGTTTGCTTAATAACCGAATAACCAAACCAATCTGAATTGAATAACATATAACCCGTATGTTGAATTGAATTTGACATAAAATCGAATTATTGTAATTTTTTTTAAAATCGAAAAATTGAACTTAAATCCGAACCAAATCGAATAAACAAATAATCGAAAAAATCGTATTTTTTTTTTGAAGAAGATGAGTATCTTATCATAATCGAGTCGAATCAAATTCAATATAAAAATTAAACGATTATAGTTTTTTCAGAAATTGAAATAATCGAATCCGAACCGAAATCCGAATAAATCAACCCTAATATGCATGTAATCGAGATACGTCATATCAAGTCCCATTCTTTGGCATATTATAATTTATATATTCGATACATTGATCACATGCTTTAGATAATTTGCCATGGCTTCTGTGAATATGTCAGAATTCTCCGAGATTCTGTTGGGTTTTTCTGAATCTTTCCTCGCAAAGTTTCCGACAAGAGTATCATCATGCTTCCCGCCATGGATTTCCAAATCTTGAACAGTTGACTCACCAAGCTTCCTCTTCTCCAGGAGGCGAGGCCTCTGATTCTTCTTGTCGTTCTGTCGGAGTCTCACGTTGTTCATGAGCTCGGAGATCTCATCAATGGTGACCTTCAAATCCTGCGTATTAGCCGTTTCCTCGAACCCATCCTCCGCCCAGTGAAACCCTATATGATCATCATCATCACCACCACCATGCCATCCTCGGGATGTGTTTCTAGTTATTTCCAGCAACGAGTCTCTCACATGCTCCGCTTGCACCATCTCACTATCTTTCCTCTGCAATACAACAAGATAAAAATATATATATATATATATATTTGTATGTGTGTGTATATGTATGTTCAATCATGTTCAGTCTCTTTCTCATCTGCACAGATCGACATAAGATCACAGAGGAGCTTTACCTTAACTTTGAAGACATTTGAGACAAGACCGAGTAAGCGAGTTGTGTTTGCATTTGTGACCTCGAACCCTAAAGAATCCATGGCCTCTATTAACTTTGTGAATATGCCCGATTTGTATTCGCATATCACCTTCACAAAAAACTCCTTTCTATCTACCTGAGCTACATCCACCTGTGGCTGAAACCCTCCACCCGAATGACAAAAACTCGTTTTATTACAATGAAAATGTAGCAGAAAAAGTGAGATTCTTGTTCTTGTTAAAGATGTAAACTAACCTCCATTTTCTGTTCTTTCTCGTTGGAACTCTGATTAGGATCCATATCTTGTTTTAGATTTGGGACATTGGTGGTGTTGCATGAGAGACCAGAGTGAAAGCCTTTTACCAGATCATTGTTACCTCCAATGGCAACATCCCCATTGTGTCTATTGGATCCATCATTAGTGTCCAAATTATCTTCAAGCTCCTCTTGTAGCTCCTTTGCCTCATTCTGCAGCTCCTTCACAAAGTTTATCGCATCCTCGAGAATCGACGCCCTGTCCAACTATATATACATATACCGCCAAAAGGGTTTTAGCGAAAACGAAAAAAAAAACACGAAAGAATGAAGAACCAGATTCCGAGAAGTGTATATGCAGACATATACCTTAGATATCTTTGGAACCAATGAGCGAAGAGTATAGAGCCTATCGTTTAGCTTCTTTCTTCTCCTCCTCTCAGCCATCAGGTTCTTGGCCTGAGACCCTTTTCCTATTTTTTCTTGCTTAAACTTGGCATCATCCTCATCATCCATCTGATCACTGCAATCCGAGCCCAATTCCAGCCTCCCATTCTCATGGCTGAAAGTTTCCTTGTCGTCTTGTTCCTTGACCTGTAAGCTAGGGTCACAACCCTCGACGTTATGCATATCCACCGCACCAACTCCCATGGAGTTGTGCAGAGCTTCCATGCCAATAATCTCATCTTCTGCAACCACCAAGTTAAACGGGTTCATACCCATATGCTTATTCTCCGGGAGGAACCCTAATTCCTGATAATCGTTCTTCAACTTGATGTGTTCGACCTCGTACTCGCCCAACTGCACAAAAGAAAGATTCATATCCTCCTTAGCTCCTTTATGTTCGAATCCTTCGGATATTTCATATGGCTTGGATTCAACCTTCTCTGCTCCCATCATATTCATCGACAATGCCCCGATCGATGTGTGATCCAACAAGAAGTTGCATTCTCTCATTACGAAATCTACAATGTGTTGATCTTCAGACACCTATGCAATAACAACAACATCCATTCTAATTGTTTTGTCCGAAATCTGCCGTTCAGAACCGAACCTAGGAAGAGCTACAAGATTCAAGACAAAGTACAAGGAACCGTACGTACTTGTCTGGTCACAAATAGCTCGACCAACCCACCTGGCATTGGGATCAGAACCCTGGTGCAGGTTGTTTCCTGAATTCAGAAACCAAAAAATAAAAGGCAGGATTATATTATGATCATCTAAAGAAATCTTATAGGGTTATAGGGTTTTTATGAAGAATCAAGAACATGGTACCTGCAGAAACTCTGGCTCCGACCTGTCTGAGAAGTTTAACCAAGCGGTTTGGTTTGACACCAGAGTCTCTGTATGAATCCTACAGCTCAGAGATCAAAACAAAAATGAGAAGACACATTGAGAAAAATGAATCGAAAACCGATAAATACACACATGCACACATGTATATATATATATATATGTGTGTGTGTGTGTGTAGTACCCGGATTCGAGAGGGATTGAAACAGGAAGATTAGCCAAAAGTTCACAAGATTTGGTCCTTGGATGATGAAACATAACATCCCTACAACGTGAGGGCACACCGCTCGAGAAACAAAACCCTTCTCCGCCATTGTCATTGCCGTCGAAGTTACTGATGATCTCTTCTGCTCCGCCGCAACAACAACCCAACCACTTCACAAACCTGTCTTCGGACAAGAACTTAGCTTTAAGTACATTTTGTCATTAATCGGCCACTATAAAATATATAATTAGGCATCGATATTGAACCTTTGATCGTCACTCAGCTTCCATAGAACGCAGTAATCCCAACCTCTCGTCCCCACAAGAGATCTCAGTTTTTCCAAGAGATTTTGTATTGTACTTTCCATTGTCTAAATCACTGCATATATATACACACACAAAATAGGCAAAATTTTTAACGTTTTAGCAAAATCAAGAACATGCATATATGTATAAATACCCAAAACTCAAACTTTTTACAAAACTTGACTAATCTTCCGGATGACTTAACTGTTAATATCATCATTAGAAATCGAGTGAATCATATAATCAAATCCCTAATCACTTAAACCGAAAGAAATGGACAATTAGTCGTATATAGAACACAAACAAAGGCAGAAAGAAAGAGTATAATGATAATAATATATAAAAGATCCATACAAAATTTGAGCTTTTCAATGATGGCTCATAACATCACAATCACCAGAAGACCCATATGTTACAACTAACCTTGCAAAAAACGTTACTTATATATATTCTTTCTGATTATATATATTCTTTCTTATATATATATATATATATATATATATATATATATATGTGTGTGTGTGTGTGTATGTACGAGTGTATATTTTCTTTATTCTTTTTTGGCTAATTTAAAAGAGCTCGGCTGTTACTCTGGTAGGTGAAGTGCAGCGTGCATGAAAGGAAGAGATTGATAAATGTGTATATATATATATATATATACATGAGATATATCAATGTATACATATATGCATATATATATATATATGAAAGGGAATATATAATATGTGAATAATGATGGAAGGAGCAGATTGCATGACCTAAGATAGCGTGCAAAACCCTAACTACCTTTGTTGAGAGCTTCTCTTCGTTCCGTTTAGGTTATATATTCTTCTTTCGGTGTCTCAACTACTCCGTATCTAAATAATCAGATCTTCATTTTCTTTTTTTTGTCTTTTTAAATAAAATAATTAAATCAATTTCAAGAACAAAAAAACCGTTTTTCCTCCTCTTTTAATTAGGATTTTGATTCTAAATTTGAAGATAATAACATCTCACGGATTAGATACTTTTAACATAAATATATATATATATATATATATATTCTTTGTATCAAAGATGAAACATAACATGTGTGTGTGTGTATATATATATATATGAAAAAAATGTTAAGGTTGGACAAAGTGAAAAGGGAGAAAAAAAAGGGAATATAGAGACATTATTGCGTAAGATGATGTGTAGATTTGAGCAAAGTTGGTTCAATCTTGTCTCCTAATCTATACTCATATAAAAGACCTAACTCTCCACCTTCTCTCAATCTGAAAATCCTATATATATATATATATATATATGAGTATATAATTTTGTATTGTTTTAAATGATAAAATTTAAAACGATTGACCAAAAAACAATAAAGATATTCTTATTTAATTTGTTAGCATATAACCGTGGATCCAACATCAAATGATTCAACTGTTAATATATAGAGAAAACTTTTTTGTAATTCGGATTCAAGTCTCCACTTTAATAGGGTATTCACATGGACTTCTCAATCCTCTATAAAGATATAGTTGAGGCAAAAATCCGCTGAATTTTTTAATTATAAAAAATATATAAAAGTCGAATGGTTTGGATTTAAAAATAATTTATTTTTTGTCACTGATCGGTTCAGTTAGGATGGTCATTTCAGATTTTAGTTTGGTTTTGGTTTAGTTATATTTGGGTTCGGTTATTTTAATTATAGAAAAAATATAACCATTCAATTTTTATATCAATTTCAATTCGAATTCAAATTCATTCTTTTTAAACTCAATTTTTTAAATTTTTTTTTGAGTTTTTCAGTTAATTTTTTATCCATTTCAATTCTGTTTGAATTCGATTTTGCACCCCTGTTTAACCGGCTGAATTATCCAAGTTTGGATAATTTCCTTGTTATTATTGCATCCATCTAAAAATGACAAATATTAACAAATTATATATATATATATATATATATATATATATATATATCATATATGTATTTTCATATAATTTTTCAACTTCAGAAAAATGCCTGAGCCTTAGATTTCACTTATACTTTTGTGAATCTTACATAATCCAGCGACGAATGGCTACTTGAAAATATTTATTCGAGGGGAAGAAAAACTTAATTAAAGTAGTAGTAAACTAAGCATTATATGTATTGAATAATAACACGTGATTAACAATGTTAATTTAACATGCTTATGGAGATTGGGTTTGATTAGTGTATTGGATAAAGTTCGTGGGCTTGTCGGCCCATTGGTGGAACTATCATACTTTCTGCTTTGTTCATGTAACGGGCTACTAGGCCCATTAGTGGGCCCAAGTAAGTGGACCGTCGCGTAACCTAAAATATCTACAAATGTGATGATGTAAAGGGGTGGTGTGGTTAATAACCGAATAACCAAACCAATCCGAACCGAATAACATATAATCGTAATTGAATTGAATTAGACATAAAACTGAATGGTTATAATTTCTCTAAAACCGAAAAATTGAACTTAAATATAAACCGAATCGAATAAACAAATAATCGAAAAAAATCGTAAATTTTTTTAATATTAAAACTGAATGGTACTGAACCGAAATCCGAATAAACCAACCCTAATGATGCATGTAACCGAGATATGTCATACTAAGTCCCATTCTTTGGCATATTATAATTTATATATTCGATACATAGAGCTCATGCTTTAGATTAATAACACTGAGATGAGAACCTTAGAATTTCTTGAATGCTTCATGCTTGGTTCGAACTTCGATCCTTTTGTGTTTTTTTTTTCTGTATTTTTAATTGTCTTCACACAAAGTTCCGAAATTATGGATTTTTTTAAAAAAAAACAGGTTGTTATTACAACAAATTTATATATTTATAAAAGTGGGTTATTACAACGAATCTATTTTTTTTAATAATCCGGAAATTCACCGGGCCTTTGGTCCGACTACATCTTCCAGAGGACAGGAAAAACCCAAGTGAATGCCCTTCTCCATGCTTGGATTTGAACCCAGGAGAGAACATTAGCATGTTCTCTCACCACTAGGCCACCCAAACTTGGGTCAACGAATCTAATTTCTTACTTAAAAGTTGAAGTGTGTGAAAATATCATCAAAATTGATGCCATCTACTGGTGGATCTTCCAAATCTTTCTCATATAGAGAACTGGCTTCTTCCAATTCCTCGAAACGAATACCGGAATTCGCCATGGCTTCTGTGAATATGTCGGAATTCTCGGAGATTCTGTTGGGTTGGTCTGAAACTTGCGGCGCAAGGTTTCCAAGAGTATCATCATGCTTCCCGCCATGGCTGCCCAAATCTTGAACAGTTAACTCACCAGGCTTCGGCTTCTCCAGGAGACGAGGTCTCTGATTGTTCATGTCGTTCAGTCGGAGCCTCACGATGTTCATGAGCTCGGAGATCTCATCAATCGCGACCTCCAAATCCCGTGTACTAGCCGTTTCCTCGAACCCATCCTCCTCCCAGCGAAACCCTAGCCCCGAAGTCTGTTTCTTCCCCGCCAAGCGATCCTTGTTCTTCGACTCGCGAGAGCGGGACAAGGCGTGATCGTCGCACAATGTCGGAGTTCGGTTGTTGAGGAAAGCGTCGACGACTTCGTCGACGGAAGAGTGGCCGAAGGAGTAGAAGGAGACGTTGGAATTGGCGGAAGGGGGAGTGACTAAAATGGCGATGTGGGTATTGCCGAGAAGGCAGAGCTCGGAAGCTTTCCGGAAAAGACCTTCGCGCCGTTTGGAGAATGCCACAGATCTCGCCTCTTTCTTCTCGATCTTCTGCATCGGGATCTTCCTCTTCGTCCCTCCCATCGTTAAGTTCTCGCGCAGATTACGAGCGAGAGAGATAGAGAAGAACAGAAACAGTGTTCGAGAGAGACAGATGTGGCTTTGTGACTTAGTTGTCTACTGTTCATGTCTTTATATATAGATCTTTTTCGGTATGAACACTCTTCTCTCTCTCTCTATTTTCACGGGGCGATTTGTTTTTTTTTTCTTTCCTTTTTTCTGTAAGGAAATATCTTAAAACCGGAAAAGTGAAACCGCCCGGTTATTGCCTTTTTCTTTGTTCTTTCTTTTGGGTGGGAAAAAAGGAAACCATGGAACCATGTCGTTAGCATTCCAGGCGATTGACATGCTTATGGAGATTGGGTTTGATGAGTGTATTGGATAAAGTACGTGGGCTTGTGGGCCCATTTGTGGAGATCATACTTTGTATCTTGTTCATGTAACGGGCTTCTAGGCCCATTAGTGGGCCCACGTACGTGGACCGTACGCATAACCTAAAATATATACAAATGTGATGATGTATCCCATTCTTTGGCATGTTATAATTTAGATATTTCGTACTTTGGACTCATGCTTTAGACCAGGGGTGCTTTAGAGGGCGTTTCGGATACAGAATCAAAAATTTCGGTATTTTTTTCAAACCATATCATTCAAACTTCCCAAGACGACATGTCTTTTATGGAACATAATTTTTTGGAACCGAACCGAATTTTATAAAATTCTCGAAAAACAGAAATTTTCTTAAAAATATCTAATTTTTTTTTTAACAAAAACTGAAACCGAACCATACGAAAACCGGAACTGAATAATATACATTACTAATTTGGTACAAATTTTAGACTACCGAATAAACCGTTTCCGAACCGAATAGCTAACATTCCGAACTGGCAATTTCTGTTACAAGTGTGGTTTCACAGTCAGATATGGAAAGGAAACAGCGACGTTTTCCTAAATTTATTTCTGGACTATGGCCCCAGCCACATTATTCAACTACTTCAAAATGACAACGACAAGAATCAGATGATGCTTCAACCTGCTTTGGCAGCACAAGGTCCACCTACAAGGATGAACGAGCTGGATTGAGTTTCATGCCATTGAGAAACGAAATCAGTTGATAAACAAAACGAAAAGAGAACCCAACAAAAGGCAAAGAACAGATCAATCTCAGTTCAAAGAGTTGCAGACACCAACAAGACAAGACAACAAAACACATCCGAAGCCAGACCACACTGCTCAACTTGCAAGAATCTCAGTTCAGAACACTTGACTAACCCATAACATAGCTGGCAGAGAAATAGTAATTTTACCTTTTCGATTATCAGGGTCAGATGTATTCACACACGCGGGATGCTCTTTAGTACCCGAGTTCTGATTAGCCGAGCGTTGCAACTGGTCAAAGTAACAATCACTTAGCCCTTGACCATTCATCGAAGCACCATCCCCAACCCTAGAACGAGGGCAATAAGCTTGATCATCAGATTGCAGATCACAAGGGCTCACAATGTATGAGATAGGTATATGTGTGGAGGGAAAATTTGTGTTCATCGGTTTCTGATAAGGAAATGTCCCAATCTCCCCTTCAATTCTTCCTCTTATATCGACGAGCAAACACTTGAGCCTCGCAACCTCGGCTTCCAAACCAGCCTGACTTTGCAATCTCTTCAACAGCTGCTGATTGATGGCCCTAAGCTTGATGACCTCATCCTCCAATGAAGCAGCTCTAGCCCTCTTCTTCTCCCGATACTTCCTGACCGCTTCTCGATTACCCGATGGCCTGTTTCTGTTCCTCTTTTCGGAGGACTCAGCTGTATCATCGGTAGAAACCTTTTCCCCGCTCTGCAATGGCAGAAACTTGGTGTGGACATGGAAACATGTGTGAGAGTGCGTATTCTCTGGGCCTGGAGGGTTGCAGGTGTGAGTGTGAGTACAAGTTTGAGGGTCCTTCAGAAGTTCATCAAAGAAAGAATCCATGGAACAGCTGCTTAGCGGTATCCGTATCCCCTCCATGTTCGGACTCGAAAACAGTTCCTGGTTGGAGAAATCAAGCTCACCCTCGTCCATAACAATAACCCAGCTGCAACCCTAACGGGTTTGAAACTGTGACCTCGCTTTTCGACAAAGATCAAGCACCCAGATGATAATTTCCGGGAAAAATACTATGCCCAAACCGACGATACTTCGAAATTCGCAAGCTTGAGGATCAATTGATAACCTATTGAACAGAATCACAAAGCAATTCAGCAACTGACCTCATTCGATATCTACTGCAGTTGAAATTTGTGTCCGTACCTTTCAGAATCCTAAAAATGGAATTCGAAGTAGATTTAAAGAATTAGTCAGAGGGGAAAGATAAGAGCAGAGAAATCACCATCATCGCCGTGAGTACGGATCCAGGAAAACGTAAATTGAAAATTGAGGCGGCTGCTGGGAAGCGAGCGGGGAAAATGGCGAGAGCTTTATAGGGAGGGAGGAGAAAAGTCGAAAAGGAAACACTAGAAGCAGGGAGGCGAGGCCATTGATGAAAGAAACGCGTTGACAAATAACAGATGGCAGAGATTCCATGGCGAAGAAAAGACATGGACATAGAAGAGACTTTAGGGTTTTCCATACAGAGAGATTCCAGAGACTTTTCCGAATCAGGGCTTTTTTTTTTTGTTTCCATAACCCCCTCTGTATATATATATATAGATAAATACGTATGAGTATATATACATAATAATTAGGAAAACTATATTTCAAATAAACAGAACTTGTGAAATGTAGATAAAGTTTTGAAAATTTCAAAATTATGTGACAGTGCCAACGCTTTATCTGATTATTTTGATATTTTTTTTACAATAAATGAGATATGAATAAATCTGTTTTCTGTCTATATTATATTTTATTCATTTAGATAAGTTTCTCTTTCAAATTGAATTTTTTGTTATTTTCTCGAAAATAAATTGCTAAAAAACTCATAAAATGAACAAACATAAATTCATTACCGAGACCTTGTAAATTTTGAACTAAAATTAATATATTTTCTATATAATTTATAGTTCGAATTTTTGTTCATCTAAAAAAAATATATGAATATACATTATAAATTTTGGGAAGTTCGTGTGAATTGGAAATAATAGAAAGGCAACTCTAAACCCACTAATCCCATCTAATTTCCCTGGATCGTTATAAGTGACAACTCAAGATTCAATATTAGGATGTTCTTTGAAAAAAATAATTTTATCAATAAAAAATGAAACCAAATTTTAAAATAGAATAAAACAATTTGATATAAAATGGAGTGGTTATAATTTTCTAAAAAAGAAATAAATAAATCAAACACAAACCGAAATCCGAATAAACCATATATTATTTATTATCTGTGAGTTCCTCCACTCTGATTTCCTTTATTCTTCACCCCCTTTGTCCATCTCTTCTCTCATCTGTACAAAAATGGAGAGGGACAAAAGATCTCCAAACACAGACAAGAGTTATCTACTGCGGTTTCTGTCCATATATATATATATATATATACACATGAAACCCTAAAACAAACCCTAATGAGAGCTTGAAGAAGGAATCTCTCCAGGAGAAGAAGAAGAAGAAGAAGACGACGAAGAAACAGAGTTATCTTCTTCTACGTCGAGCATGGCGAGGCTCAAGTGTAATTCTGCGCTCGAATTAGGGTAAACTTCGTCGTCGAAGCAATCTTTATCTTCCTCTGAATCCTCCTTCCTTCTCTTCATCCATTCCTCCATCTCCTTTTCGGCTTCCCCTCTTAAAAGCTTCAGTATCTGCATATATATACACACACAAATACACGAATGAAACAGATGTTCTTTCATGCATGAGTCCCCCGGTTTGTCTTTATCCGATTCGGTTTTCTGCTAAACCGGTACTGTCTAGAATCGAGTTCTTGTTTCGGTTCCATTGGACTGTTGGTACGGTTTTGTCGTATGGATTGGTTTAAATGCAGTTTGGTTTCTACCAAACCGAATTCTGGCAGTGGTTAAACTAACCAAAGCATGAAGTGCTTTTACTTGAGGATCCGATAGGTCAGGCTTCGGATTTGATTTTATAGACTTGAAAAAATTAAACGTGAACCTGAACCCGAACTCGAAATCCTCGGACCGAGAGTGCGGGTTCGGGCCGGACAGGACCGATGACACTCCTAAGGTATTTTCATATAGCTTCTGCATTTTTTTCTGGTAAAAGACGAACTTTTTTTTTAGCAATCCATCTCATGAAAGACATCCATGTATTTGTTTTGTTTTTTTTTATAACGGAGGACCCCTATCTACTACCATTCGGGCCCGCTGACTAGGTAAACCTCCGGCACGGGAGCAGCCTTTGTATATGGATCATATAAATCCAGAAATTACCTCCCTCCCCACCAGTCAGGAATCGAACACTCAACCTCAAGGTGGAGTTACCTCCTACCCAAGTTTGACCACTCGTCCACGATCTGTTGGGTTTTAAAAAGGGGGGGTGCATCCATGTATTTGTTAGTTTACCTCTTTGATATCGGGACGAAGGGTAGCTGCTGTGGTCAGGCAGAGCGTAGCAGCAAGAACCAATCTCTGAAACTGAGCCTCGTCGAATTTCTCTGACAGATTTGGATCCAACACTTTATCTGCATCCCCTTTCTCTATCGTCGGTTTTGCCTGCATACCAAGAAATCTCGTTGGACGTTGCTTGTGATGCAAGTAACCTAGTTCGTTCTAGGGTTTGTTTTCCTTCTGTCTGAACACTTACCCACATGACCAGACTCTCCTGTCCTAACGAAATAGGAGTTCTTCCTGATATGAGTTCTAGCAGAACCACTCCAAAGGCATAAACGTCGACTTTGACACTCACTTTTCCGTACATGAAGTACTCTGGTGCGAGGTGCCCGAACGTCCCCACGACTTCCCCTTGTATCAGAAACTCGGAAGAGGTCGGAGCCCACATCGAAAGCCCGAAATCCGACAGCTATTTTTTCACAAGGGGGAAATGAATGGGGTTTGATGAGAAATCTGAACACTTTGAAGGGAAAAAAAAGTTTAGTACTTTCTCATTACCCGAGGCTCTAAATCATCCGAGAGAAGAACGTTCGAAGACTTGACATCTCTGTGGATAACGGGTCTTGAACATCGGTTATGGAGATAATCTAACGCTTCCGCTAACCCGACTGCAATTCTGAATCTCTCTTCCCATGACAAAACGTGTTTGCCCTTTTGCTTACCTGCAGAATCACATCAGTATATGGTAAACTATGGATTGAATTGCTGAAAGGTGAATGAAACAATGCGTATGAAGTTTTCTGAAGTTGTGTTACCGTGTAGATTATCTTCTAGACTTCCTTTAGATGAGAAACTGTAAACCGAGATTAGATCGGTTTCTTGGGCGCATACACCGAGCAGAGGGGCAATGTATCGGTGATTCAAAGAAGAGATGATGCTCACTTCATGGGCGAAATCCGTTATGGATTCCTTTGATGAAGATTTCAAGATTTTCACTGCTACTGCCTCGCCATCTGGAAGAACACCTTTATACACTTTGTTACACCCTCCCTTTCCAATCAGATTCTCTATCAGAAAACGGAAAAAGAAAAACAAAGATGATTTAGATTTAGAAAGAAACACAAAGCAAAGATCGAACGGCTTTCAATCGAGATTTACCTGAAGAGAACTCAGATGTTGCTGTCCTAAGAACATCATAGCAACACCATCGGCTGCTGTCCCTCAGTACGATTCCCTTTAGTTTCTTCTCGACGGAAATCGTTTCAGAAATCGAATTCTGATGCTGTGGAAACCGCTCGGGAAAGCTCATGACCCAATGAACCACCGACAGTTTCCTGCTGTGGTGAGCTTGGGGAATTTCCGAAGCAGCTCTTCTCAACAATGGCCAACCTGGTTTCTTGTCCAAAACATCAACCGAGGGAAGAGATACCGATCTACCCGAAATTCTCCTCCTTTCGTCATGACCCATTTTCAAGATCTCTTCCTTAAATTCATCGACTTTAACCCTCGACTCATCAGATTCGAATCCACTCTCTTTGTCTGAAGACTTTTCAGAAAGTCCGGAACTTGGACTCCAGTCCATCTTGTGAACTGCAATAACCAGAACCATGATGAAGTTCAACATATAAATACCGAGACACATTATATATATATGTATAAAGATTCGGTTGTGGAGAGAATTGATGAACCTTGAGGTAGTTGATGATTGTTGGACCGCCTAAAGATATTATTTCCCCGGTGGATGGCCAGAACATCTGTGGTTAGAGGCAACTGTTTTGCGCAGCCTCTAGCTGTTGACACCCGATCCCTGAAACCCGAATCCGTTTTTTTAAGACTAAAAACCCGAAACCGGCAAAGAGGATTTCAAAGGTTTTGAATTAAATCTTAGATTTCTCACCTTAAGCTTCTATGATTTCTTATTCCCACCACAACGGCGACGGCTTTGCAGTTCTTTGCCTCTTTAACCAAGACCCTTTGGACCGAACTTCCTGTCAAAACCTCTGCTTTAAGCTCAACCTGTTCTCGAGATCGACATTCGCCGTTACCCTCCTGCTTAAAATCTCGGCTTTACGAGAAATATGCCGAGGGAAGAAAGAGTGAAAACAAGCTACCTTCTTGGTAGAATACAATCCTCTATGCACATCCAAGTACCGGTCCAGAGATGACTTGCTCTTCAAGGCACGATCTGTAAATGAGGTTTCGTCGTTACAACATGAGAACCCGGAAAAAATAACAGCGGAAAATCAAGAATCCATGAGGAGAGAAAAGAAGAAAAAAGCTCACAAGAACTTGAACAAACATGAACCGCAACAACGCAATCTCCGGGTTCTGTCACATTTCCGAGCACCCAATCCAGAACATCTCTGCCGCTTTCGTCCATTCGAATTCCGACCAGAACAGTGTTTCTCTGCTTCTCATGAACACGATCAAACTCGGTTTCTCTCATCGCTGGCATTTCCTCTTCTTCTGAAAATCTTCTCCTTTTGTCGATCAGAACGGCACTGGGGGCTTTCAGATCATCAACGGAAGCGAAATCCAAGCAAATGTCTTTCGCACGTTCGAGCTTAACGCTGTTGATCTCTGCATTATAACAAAGGTTTTGTCGGAAAGTTGAGAAATTTTAACCGGGATTCATCAGTACAGAGCGCCTTTTCAGCACAAAAATCCAAACTTTGTTTCGTTCTTTAAATAACCATTTCCTGGAAAACAAACAGAAACTCTCCAAACACCCATAGGAAATTTCCAAGGATCTGATTATAATTATATGATAATTATGCAGAGAACATTATACAGACGCATAACGATCAAAGGAAAACGATGAACATTAGAAGACAAAACATAAGTTGTCTGTATTATTCGATTGGTTTTTAAAACTAGTGAAATTCCCCGCCATTGGGTCGTCATCATTGTACCTGCTACCATTGTAATTCCAGAATTAGACCCATTTGAATACAAAATCTTAATCTCAGAACCCAAATCTCTCACGAAATTGCCCCTCCTTTGATCGTAGAAAGTGTCGGCAACACAGAGAGAGAGAGAGAGAGAGAGAGAGAGAGAGAGAGAGAGAGGATGATGAGTGAGTGAGCAAAGAGAGAGGGGACCAGTTATTGGTTCTTAGGTTTTTGACCGTTGAATTTTTAAAAATTTATGTAACAAAAAAAAAGTTCTGTAAAGGAAAATAGAACCCAGAAAAAAAAAGAGTTAGTTGGGGATAACCGGCAAATATAGCGGGAAACCCACGATATCCGGTGACTTCAAAGGGCGTTGGAAAGTGTAGCAACCGGTTATTACGGGTTAAACGTAACAACAAAGTCGCATACGAGTATCGGGAAGTTCACGAACTCCGTCCGCACCACGTTTTTTTAATTTAAAAAGAATGAAAAGACAAAAACTATAAATTGATTTTTTTTTATCTTGTGGTTATAAATATATTCGTCTGATTATAATTATGTTATAAAAGTAAGTGTGTGGAAAAAATGCTGTTTTGTGTGTGCATCATATAAATGTTTCATATTTTGATAACACAATTGAGATCGGTATATGGAATTGTTATTAATTAAGATTATGTGTAATCATTGATTCATATATATATAAGGAGGAATATTTACGGATAAAAAAAAAAGATTATACTAAATCACAAATATATATATATATATATAAACTTATAAATCACTTGAAGTAATATATACACTCCATTGTATTAATTCCAATGACTTACATGAACATATATATATATTAATTCCAAGTATTTTCAATAGTGTATTTATAATTAACAATATTATAAATAGACAACAATATTCTCGTGTGGCTCCTGCTGTCATTCTCATTGTGTATCTATAGAAAGATATATTAATATTATACATTATTATATATAGTAATTGGCTTTGACCCTTTGGTCCACCATATTCTATTGACTTTTCGTGGTACCAAAATTAAAAAAATAAAGAAAAGTTGAATATGATTTAAGAAATACAAATAAGTTGGTGGGTAAAGAATTATATAACAATAAAATAATAGAAATACCTTTTTTTTAGGTGGGCATATTAGTTCATTACAATGGTGACCGATTGATGAAGTTAATTAAATGTTATAATAAAGTAAGAATCAAATTAAAATATGGGTTTCAGTTTAACAATTTAACGAATGGGTTTAGATCAACCACTGAGATTGGTTTGGTAGTTAGTTTACGCGATAAAGAAGCTCATGTGCTTGTTAACCAAATCTTTAAAAAAAAAAAATAATTATCCCCTTAATTAGTCCAATAAAAATATTCACGAGAAATTCGGTAATTAAAAAATATAAAAAATGTGTATATATTGTGTTCTTTATTTGATTGAGTAATTAATAGGGGTGAAAAAGATGTCTAATTTTAACCATGTCATATTTTATGAATAACTCATATGGTATTGGGTGTACCTATTACTATATTTTTTGTTGCCAATTCAAAATAATTCCATATGTTTTAAATTATTTTTTATGGCTATTCAAAATCCACAAATGATAAAAGCAAAGTCTATTTTGGCCTAAAATACCATTTAAACCCAACATTTTCTACTGACAATTAAAAAAAATTATAGATAAAACCAGACTGATTTCAATCAGTAAATAGTGATTTTTTTTCCTTTCACCACAGCATCAAGCAAGTTTTTGAATCCACAAGGAAGGAACAAAGAAAAAAAACGGATATTTCACCACGTTATTACAGAACAAAACCAGCGAGGAAAGAGCTCATGAACAACAATGAAGCATATATATATATATATATATAATCATAACGATTAATGGCAGTGAACGAGTTAGAACACTGCATATTTCTGGGTCCAGCTTCGAGCCATGGAATCATATTTGAACTTGTCGGTTTTATACATGTGCGCAATTTCTGGAACCAGTGGATCGTCTGGGTTAGGATCTGTAAGAAGAGAGCACACAGAGAGCAGAACCTGCAAATCCAGACCCAAAAATAAAATAAAATCACCCATTTCAGTTCTAACCCCAAAAGCAAGGAAAAAGCTCTGTTTTTGCTTAGTTTATTAATCTTGATCTACTTAACGATCCACCTCTGGTTCGGTTTCGTTTCATGAAATGAGTTCTAATGGGGATTAGAAACGTGGGTTAGTGTTCTTGTTTAATGGGTTCGCATGACAACCTTAGAGATGGTGAGGGCAGGACTCCACTGGTCTTTGAGAATGTCCAAGCAGATGTTTCCGTTGCTGTTGATGTTAGGGTGGAACACTTTGGTCCTGAATGCTACCTGAAACACGAGTTTGAGCAAAGGACAGGCCACAAGAAAAAGAAATATTAGATCTTATTTGTTGGGTCTTGTAATGAACTTCTGAGGCAGGAGATTTCTGATCTTGCGAAAGCACCTTAGGAGGTTTGAAGGGGTAATCCGGAGGGAAATGGATGTTGACGAGGAAGACACCGCCTGCGTAGGGACTATCACCCGGACCCATTATCGTGGCTTGCCAATGGAACACATCTTCTCCGATTGGACCTGAAATAATGTTGCCCCCCATCGCATATGTTAGAAACCATTTTCAAGGATCAAACCAGAGAGAAAGCCATGGTCAAGGAGGGGAAAGACCGTCTTTTTCTACCGAAAACAATGATCTTTGATGGTTTATCCTGTGTTCATCCAAAATATACAGTGAAAGATTCTACGGAAATAACAAAGCCAGCGTGTGATTTATGTAGCTGGATCATACCTGCGCTGCATGAAGCAGGAGGGTCTTTCTGTAATTCCTTGAGTTCTTTCAAAATCCGCCTTGTTGCCATGGCAGAGAACACTTGACTTACAGGAAAAAAAGGGTCTTCAAAGCTGGTGACAGAGAATAGCGAGAGAGAAAACAAAATCTATGGATGGTTTGCAGAGTGGAAGGTGGATGTGCATTTAAGGTCTGAGCGGTAGAGATACCATGATTCTCTTGAAGACTTGCATGAAAGTGGAAGAGGGCACAAATTCCAGATGGAAAAGCAGATTCAGCGGATATATAGCCACCGAATTTCAGAAAAAAAGGAGAAAGAATGCTCTGTAAACCAAATCTGTTCGCCTCTACTTTGTTCCATTGGCACTTAATCTTGATTACCATTGTTTTAAGGCAATAATGTGAAAGAACCATTTCTGTTCTCAAAACAGGAAGTCTGATTCTGAAAGAAACACATACCTTTACACGAATGGTGTAAACATGATGAAAGATACCATTTGATCTCCCTTCCCTTAGTGGACTGGTAAAGTTCCATCTGCTTGGGAATCTGAAAAAGATAAGAAAGATGGTGAAAGTTTAAAGGAGCAAGAATCTTTAACATAATCCATAACTATATATGCATGCCTCATCTTCTTCGGGTTCATTGCACCTGCAAAATGATTCCAAGATGATTGAAATGGATGAATTGGAGGCCAGAAATCTGGAGTAAAAACTGGTTTGAAAGTAAATACACCATGAGAATCTATGAAACAAGGAAAACCGGATACGTTTATTTACAGATGGGGACACAAACAAGAATTCAATCTAGAAATTTTATTATAGGAAGTTCTCTGACTTGTCAGATTTTCAAACTACAGACAACAAGTTCCTGCTTTCCTGGAGAAACAACTTATGAAAAGGGTTAAAAAAAACAGTGGGGTTGGGGGCAAATTCGTTACAGCCGATTGCTTTCTTCCTGGAATCACTCTTTC